GCAACTGAAACCTGCTGTAAAAAGAAAGCCAGATACTTCCGTATGGCAGGTACCCGTACCAAACCTGTCACTTTTACGCTCCAAAGCCAACCACGACACTGAAAAGCAATTGTATTGTACCAGTTACCAACACAAAAGTCAAACCGCGGTCCAGCTGTTGCTCCCAACACCCAGTTACCATGATTGTTCCGTATCTGTCCCGGATCAGAGTGTCTGGCCGAACCAGAAATAGCCACTTGACCATTCTGAGCTGCCAACACCGAACCTGAAAGTGATATAGTGATGTGTATCATACCGATGTCGGATACCGTCGAAACTGAAAAGCCAAGGTAGTACCGAACCTATTCCGGACCTGAAACAACCATCCCCGAGCCTGTAAAAGAAATGCAGATGCGTGTACCACTTCGGCGCCGAGCCAATGCCGTATCAATACCGAACCCGAAAAAGATCTAGTCAGAAGAGGAATAAATAAATAATCCGGGGTTGGATCCGACCTCGAAAAATTTGAGCAAATATCCGTCGATCATTCAATAATCGTGGTTTTTCTTCCCTTTTATCATTTTTATTTATTTTTCTTATTTCTTAATTCCATTATCGAAAATAATGAAAATAAAAGCAATCTTGTCAAAATTAAATTCCGGTTGACTTCAATTAAACAACGAAAATTCTTTGTTTTTTTTTCTTTTGTTGCTTTTGATTCTTTTTCATGTTTTTAATTTTATTATCAGAAATATCGATAATTGAGGGCGACCCAATTAAAAATTAAATGCCGAAGAATTCAAATAAGTTAAAGAATATTCAATTTTTCTCTTCCCTTCTACTGTTTTATCTCTTTTTTCTTATTTTTAATTTTAATATTAGAACTAGCGACATTCGAGGGATCATTCCCACAATAATTGTTCACTTGTAAAGGGGCTACGCCTAGACCTACTCTCATTTTGCCGTCCCGTGGTTAGCCATTTCGGAAACAGGCTTGGAATGAGCGGAAAAGAGATAGACCTCAGCGCCGTGAAAAAGATAGCCCCTCTCGTCAATTTCTAGGGCTAGTCTCAGCAGTCGTCATATCTAATTTTAGGGGTGCTCGGGGTACCCCTAATTTTCCCGAACCGGTCGAACAAAAGTCCCGGCCGATCCCCTTTCAGACAATTTTTCTAAGTGTCAATCTGTCGGTATTAGGGCGACCGCCTGCCCTTCGGTCGCCCGACACCGGGCCAAACACAGGCCACAGGCAGTTATGCACATGCAACCACCTCAGACCCAGGGCCTGCTTTCGTTTGTGACTGGGCCTCAGGCTACCGGGGCCTACTGGAAGCTTCCTCGGACTGGACGTAGGCAGCCACTTCGATAGAGCAAAGAGCCTGCCTCCTCGTTCGGCATTCGGGTGCTGGCTGCATGTTGCGCAAGCGCTGCTGCTGCGCTATTTGCTGGCTGGCACTCATGCTCTCACGGGCGAGCAGGGAAGGGGCGGGTAGCCATAGCCGAGCTGCTCCGCTGTGAGCTGGGTGCAGTGCAAGGTGGTCCTTGCGTGCTAGTGGCATCTGTGAGTTGGGGAACGAGGTTGTGAGTGTAGCGCGAGACATACCTGGTGCTGGAAGCGTGCAACAATGGTCGCCATATGCTCGTACTTTGGGGATGTTGTTGAGGTCATCTTTCAGCTTCGTAGTATAGGCTAGATCGGATCTGCCACATGTAGTCTGGGCGCCGAGCGCCAGATAGGATATCAACTCTGGTTCTTTGTTGATGATGATGGGACTATTTAAGCATTGTCAATAACGAACTCTTGGTGTGTTCTTGTTTGGTGAATCTCGTGATGCAATTCTGTTGTTGGTTCGAGGTCAAGACTATCTGGACTAATATGTATGATGTTGTTTGATTGCTGAAGTTCACTATTGCTCGTCTTCCTTGCAATTTCGTATCGGAGTTGTGGTACGATTGCGCTCATCTGGCGCTTGTCTTCTGCCTAATGCGGTACATACATGCGGTCTGCTGGGCGAGTTTGGCCGTAAGTGGTGTGTAGCGAGGAGGGTGGAGACGAGCGTATAGGCGACCAGGAGTTGAGGGGATCGCCAGGAAGGCTACGTGGGGTGAAATGTGGTCTGAACAGTGTGATGAGAACTATCTAATGTGCGATTGATGTTGAGGTGGAACGACGAGATAATGCTGGTTGTGCCGATGGAGTGACTGGTCATCGCAATCGCCATTTCGTCATCTGGTGAGATTATCTATGTGGTTGGGGGCAGCTAATTGAGGTACGTTGCTCTTAACCTTATCTTCCCTCTCCGACACTTCTTACCGTGAGGTTGTGTGTTCCTTCTTGAGAGTCGTCTCATCGTGAGGTCACGGACGAGCAATGTTCACGTGGAGCATCTAGGTGGAAATGGGCGAAGCTTTCTGAAGGGCCCTGGACGAAGCACTGGGTCACGGTCACCATGCCAACCCACAGGGAGTAGAGCACGCATGCCTTGCTGCTTGTCCTTTGTTCAGCTTGCTGCACTGTTAGATGGGTACTACTGGGCAGGCCAGCCCTACAGGAAAGACGAGCTCCCGGCGTCTATAAATAAACACGGGAAGGGGATATCACTGGCTGTGATCGTCGTCCTGCTGGGACGTAAAATAATTCATGATGTCACTTGGGGGCGGACGTTAAAATGCCTTTGGATCAGCCAGTGATGTAAGGCTCGCAGCACGCCGAGGATAAATATACGTGCAAGGCTGGCCGACTCAATGGATACTCGGGCACAGGGGTGGGCCGGACACACACCTTTAGACACGTGACGCTCTCCAGATTGCTCAGGGACGTTGACGTCAAGAGATACTCAGGGGAACAAGTTCGAGAAAATTCCATGCTGTCGTATCCACACAAGTGATTCTATTTTTATGTTTTTGACATCTGACAGACAGCATTAGTTAGAACTGTTTATTGTTCCTGGTGCTTCTGTTTACCGACTAGTCAGACTAAAAATAGTTTCAGTCGTAGGAATTTGACTGACCTGTTGACCTAAAGTGATATCTGTTCCAAAATAGCCACCAATTAATTAGTTGGTTTGTGCACTATGTTGCGGTAGGCATCTTGTATGATCTAGTGTAGACAGTGCACATTGGTGCAGCCCATGAGCGACGAGGAGGACACCGGAGAGGACGACCGGAGGATATTGTGATCAGGTAGACCCCCGATAGCCCACGTGTCCTTAGGACCGGACGGTGATAGGATCTTGTTCCGCCGGCTTAGGGAGAGGCAGCAGCAGCAGAGGAGGGCTAGAGCAGCCGAGGCCAGCAGGACTTTAATTAGCGAGGCTGGTGCTACAGCAGCCATGGCTACTTCCGCCATGGTCACTTCTGCGCAGCCGACTTCCCAAGCCAGCAGTTCAGGTGCCGTCGGGTCAACGGTCGCGCAGACCGTGAGTCGGTCCAGGGGCGTTATGGCAAGCCAGGCAGCAGTGTCGACTCCAGAGGATGTCGCCATCCAGCAGGCAACCCTGCAGGAGGCACAGCTACAGCGGGCATTAGGAGAGATAAAAGCGGAGAAGGAGAAGATGATCAGAAGAAGAGCCAGGATGCAGCGGAGAGGGGCAGACATTGAGGAGTTCGAGACGATGGACCTAACGCACATGGATGATGATGCGAAGGTAGTAATGAGGGCCCTGCTAGGAGTAATAGAGATGCAGGAGCATCAGACTACCATCCTTCAGGACATCCAACAAAGCCTAGCCGTTTTGGCAGGCCGTGCTCAGGCAGCACCATCACCTGCCGGGCCAAGTGCCTGGCCCGTGCCATATCCTCCTTTTTATGTCCCACCGATGACAGGGGTATCCCCATATGTAGCCCCGTCAACGGTTGCTATCGGTTCCCTGGGCATGCCGCTGTCAGGAGGGGTAACAGCAGGGAGTAGTTTGCAGGTTCCTGTACAAACAATGTTTACCCAAAGACCGTCGCAGGTTGCAGTCACCAAGCAGCATGCTGTCTCGCAGTTTGTGCAGCCTCAGGGCACGCAGCCCCAGCAGCTAGCACAGCAACCTGTGTCACCGGGTCCACAACCCGGAGTGGTGCAGGGACCGGGACAAACTTAGTGGGTTCCAAAGACGACCATCGCCGCTCCCAAACCTTTTACAGAGGATAAGAGGGGCGAAGACCTCAACACGTGGTTGAGAGCAGTGACGATCTACGTCAGGTGTAAACTCACCTTGCCACACGAAGAAGTGTTTGTGGCTGCTTCCTACCTAGAGGGTAGTGCAGCAAGATGGTTGAGTCGTTTAGTACAACTGCAGGGATATGGTCATGACTTCCGCGCTTGGGCGGCCTCACAGAAATTGGAGGACTTCTTGAAGATGGTGGAAGAAAGGTGGCATGATCCTCAGGAGGCCCAAAAGGTCACTGATGCGATCCTGACACTGCACACGAGGCAGTTTAAGTCCGTAAGGGAAGCCACCGACGTTGTTGAGCGTCTGATCTGTGTCCCAGGGGTGCGCTATGACCCCCAGGTCCTGCTGACTTCGTACTTGAGATGTTTTTCTCAGCCTCTCAGGAACCAGTTGGCAAAAGAGGCCAATATCAATATGCACAACTTTCCTTCGTTCAGTAAGGTGGCCCTAGACCTTGAAGATAAGATAGGGCATGGACAGGCACCCACTACGGATGGGAGGAAGAAGACACTGCCTCCTAACTGGAAGGCGAAAGGTCGCTTGATGTTTGTCGACAACGATGGTTCAACCATCGAGTTGGACGGCAACTTCCAGGAAGGAGTAGGTTAAGAGGCAGGCAGCATAGATGCTTCAGAGGGTGGAGTAGTCGCTGCCATATCTCAAAAAGGAAAGGCGACCTGTAGACGCCGCGGAGGCTCCCGGTCTAGGAGTCAAGTTGACCCCAATGCTCCTCCATGGGAGAGAGCGGGTCTTACAGAGGACGTGTGGAGAGACCGTTACTCACGGCAGGCCTGTATTCGTTGTGGTCAATATGGCCACAGCCAATTCAAGTGTCGCAACAAGAAAGTGACAGAAAAGATCCCGCCTACGATGGGGCAGGTATTGGGATCCTCTCAACCCGTTGGTAGCAGTGTTGCCAATTCTTCAAGCAGTGCTCCGGAAAACACGTCGGGCCAGTAGGAATAGTAGCTGTTCCTGCTAGGGTCGAGGTGGTGCAGACACCTTCACCATCTCGAGAGCTGGCCCAAGCTACTGACTCCAGCGTCGTCCCGCAAGCACATTCAAACCCATAGAGCCTCTGTTCGATGAATGTGTTTGAGTCCTAAGAGGAGCTAGAGGTGGGGTGGTCTAGATCAGACCCGCTAGCTTTTTGAACGGCTATAGTCAAAGCCCCTAAGGGTGAGATGTTCATCAACAAGGCTGTCATTGGCGGCCACAAGGTCGGGGCCTACTATGACACTTGCTCAACTAGGAACTTTTAGTCGCGTGTGCGTTGAGAGGCTGCGTTTACACGGGCAAGTGCAGCGCCTAAGTCGACCCGTGGAGTCGACCTGTGCCAACAAAGAGTGCATGGTAGTCAACGACTACCTCCAAAATGTGGAGTGTGTTTTCCCGTACGCGGGAGGGGACTTGAGACATCGTGTTTCGTTCCTAGTGAGTGACGAACTCCCCATGGATATGTTGTTAGGTATGTACTACCTCTCTGTGGCACAACCCCAGTTTGACTGAGACCGAAAAGTGGTTAAACACACTTTGCCAGGTGGAGGGACCGCCAGATTACACAAGTTCAAAGCTAATAGTCTGATTGAGTCCTACGGGTGCATGTGTGCGGCCGCCTTCTATAATTATTATAAACAAAATCAAGAGGAGGGTATGTACTTAGTTTATGTCACCGCTGCAGGCCCGGTGAAAATGCCGCCGGAGATAGAGGGAGTAGTTGCTAAGTACCCTGATCTATTTGAAGAGCCAACAGGGGTTGTTGAGAGGGAGGTCGTCCACGCGATAGAGATTATCCCAGGGTCTAGTATTCCGAGGGGTAGGATCTATCAGATGTCTCCAGGCGAGCTTGACGAGCTTCGCCGCCAACTCAAGGAACTCGTAGAGAAGGGTTGGATCCGGTCGAGTGTCTCTCCTTATGGGTCTCCAGTTCTATTCGTGCCTAAGAAGGAGGGCACTCTTAGGATGTGCATTTACTATAGGGGCCTCAATGCCATCACTGTAAAGAACAGAGAGCCCCTACCGTGCATCGACGATCTGCTAGATAGAGTGCAAGGGTGTCGGTACTTCAGTAAAATAGATCTGAAATCCGGGTACCATCAGATTGCAATCCGGCCCGAGGATCAACACAAAACCGCCTTTCAGACGAGGTACGGTCTGTACGAGTTTGTGGTGATGCCATTCGGCCTGTGCAATGCTCCTGGCACCTTTCAGCACGCTATGAATCAGATATTCCATGACTACTTAGATAAGTTTGTCATCGTGTACCTCGATGGCATACTTATTTTTAGTAAGATTGTCGAGGAGCACGTGGCACATTTGGACAAAGTCCTCAGCCTCCTGCGACAGCACAAGTTCAAGATCAACGGCGAGAAGTGCGAGGTTGGCCGCACCCGTGTCTTGTACTTGGGTCATGAGATTTCCGCGAAAGAGTTGAAGCCCGATGACGCGAAGGTGGCCAGCATTCGTTATTGGTCACGTCCTCAGTCTGTGACTGAGATGAGATCTTTCTTAGGAATGACAGGCTACTATAGGACTTTTGTTAAGAACTACAGCATAGTGGCTGCTCCTTTGACTGATCTGACCCGCCTTGACACCCCATGGGAGTGGACAGACGAGTGCAAGGCTGCTTTCAGACATCTGAAGCATGGGTTGACGCACTACGAGGTCTTGAAACTTCTTCATCCTGACAAGCCGTTCATGATCACCACGGATGCCAGCCAATATGGCGTTGGCGGCGTGCTCGCGCAACAGAAGGGGCCAAAGTTAAGGCCAGTCGAGTACATGTCGAAAAAAATGTCGTCTCAGAAGTTGGCAAAGTCCACCTACGAGAAGGAACTCTACGCCGTGTACAAGGCTCTGACCCATTGGAGACACTATCTCCTTGGGAGATTCCTCATCCTCAGGACTGATCATCAGACCCTAAGATGGATGAGAACTCAGCCCGTACTTTTTGATGCTCTGAAGCGGTGGATTGAAGTCATTGAGCAGTATGACTTCGACCCCCAGTATCTCAAAGGGGAGTACAACAAGGTGGTTGATGCCTTGTCGCGTAGACCTCACTTTTCAGGTGCGCTGATTACTGAGTTCGATCTCACGGACGATGTTACTCGCTCCTTGGTGGAAGCCTATCGCAAGGACCAGTTCATGTCTGAGATCATACGCAGACTTCAGTCACAGGACAAGAAGACCTCTGCCGAGTTTGAGTTGGTCAATGGCTTCCTGTTCCTTGAGAAGGCAGGGAATAAACGATTGTGTGTTCCCAATAGCGAGTCTTTGCGTAGTTTGTTTTTAGGAGAGTGTCATGATGCCACCGGCCATTTTCGGTATAAGAAGACCGCAGCCAACTTGCTGCAACGGTTCTGGTGGCCCACGATGATGCGAGATGCCCAACTTTACGTGGAGACTTGTCAAGTTTGTCAACGGGACAAGCCACGTACTCAAGCTCCTCTTGGGCTTCTCAAGCCCCTTCCGATTCCGGAACGGCCTGGTGAGAGTCTATCCATGGATTTCATGGATACTCTAATCACCAGCAAGAGTGGGATGCGTCACATCTTCGTCATCGTGGATAGGTTTAGTAAGTATGCTAGAGTAGTAGCCATGCTGGAAACAGCGAAGACGGAGTACGTGATCGGAATGTTCAAAGAAAACTGGGTTAGAGACTTTGGTTTACCAAAGTCCATTGTCAGTGACAGGGATGTAAGATTTACCAGCTAGTTGTGGAAGGTCGCTGCTGCAGAGCAGAGCACTCAGTTGCAAATGACTTTTGGGAATCACCCAGAGGCCAACGGCCAGGCCGAGCAACTGAACCGCTCTGTTAAACACCTGTTGAGGCATTACAGCAAGCCCAACCAGGTGGACTTGGATGAGAAGCTTGCACTCATCGCCAGTCTGTATAACAATGCGGTACACGGTGCCACTGGGGTGAGCCCAAACAGTTTACTACTGACTTTCAAGCCTAGATTACCCCTTGACTTTCTCCTTCATGAGAATCAATCAACTGCTGCACCGGGTACTTTAGAGTTTGCCTACAGATATGAACAGAAAATGCAGCAGGCGGTAGAGCCATACAAAAGGCACGGGCAGCAATGATAAAGTTTGAAAATAGACACCGCCCGCATTTTACATTTCAGGTTGGGGATAGAGTCTGGGTTAAGTCTTCAGACCTGGGACAGGAGTACGGGATCTCTTGCAAACTCATGCCCCAGTACTTTGGACCTTGGGAAGTCTTGGACATCGTCGGTACAGATCCGGATGGGCCATCTTATGTTATCCGAATCCTTGGTCATCTCCGCACTTACCCTGTCTTTCACGCCTCCAAGCTAGCACCTTTCAAAGAGACTGATCAATTTTCATCTCGTCGCTCAATGCTGCCCCCAACCATGGACGGAGAGGTGGACATTGATGACATCGTCGATCACAGCGAGCTGCCAGTATCAAGACCAGCAGGCAGGGGACGACCTCCGAAACCGAAACTGTAGTACCGCGTTCGGTTCCGGCATCACACTGATCCGAAGGAGGACCGCTCCTCAAGTTGTTACCCAATATGAGAGATCTCTGTAGAAGGGAAAGCGCCCCATGGTTGAAGACTGAGCTTCTCAAAGGACTGTGGAAGCTAAGGAGGAGGGAATGTGAGGCCACTGCCTCTATGAGCCCCATAAGGCCCCATTTTTGCAGCCCATCGGCCGCCCTAAGTGAAGGCAGGCTCGACGAGGCCCTCAGGGCCCTTTTCTGGCCACCACGCAACTCAGGGAAATTCAGGCAGTTGCGCGCCGCCAGTTGGTTGAGCGAACCCAGGCCCTGGGCCGCCTGTGTGAATGTATGTGAAGGAGGACTTGGGCTAGATACGGGTACCATGCCAAACACAGGCCACAAGCAGTTGGGCACATGCAACCACCTCAGACCCAGGGCCTGCTTTCGTTCGTGACTGGGCCTCAGGCTACCGGGGCCTACTGGAAGCTTCCTCGGACTGGACGCAGGCAGGCCTAATTCGGCATTCGGGTGCTGGCTGCATGCTGCACTATTTGCTGGCTGGCACTCACGCTCTCACGGGCGAGCAGGGAAGGAGCGGGCAGCCATAGCCGAGCTGCTCCGCTGTGAGCTGGGTGCAGGGCAGGGTGGTCCTTGGGTGCTAGTGGCATCTGTGAGTTGGGGAACGAGGTTGTGAGTGTAGCGCGAGACATACCTGGTGCTGGAAGCGTGAGACATTGGTCGCCATATGCTCGTACTTCGGGGATGCTGTTAAGGTCATCTTTCAGCTTCGTAGTATAGGCTAGATCGGATCTGCCACATGTAGTCTGGGCGCCGAGCGCCAGATAGGATATCAACTCTGGTTCTTCGTTGATGATGGGACTATTTCAGCATTGTCAATTATGAACTCTTGGTGTGTTCTTATTTGGTGAATCTCGTGATGCAATTCTGCTGTTGGTTCGAGGTCAAGACTATCTGGACTCATATGTATGATGCTGTTTGATTGCTGAAGTTCGCTATTGCTCATCTTCCTTGCACGTTGGACGATATTCTAATTTTGTTATTGAAAGTGGGATCAATAACAGGAAAGAAACAGCGAGGCACAATTAAAGGGATATTCACACGAATTTCGAAGAAGAAATTTGCATTCAATATTAAGAAAAGGCTCATATTCAGAATTCCTTTTGCAACAGAGATCAATCTCAAACAAGTCAGAAATGCCACAATAGGTGCAATTCTTGAAAATTTGTAAATAAAAATTTGGCAAAAGATCTAGTATCCCGCATGAGAGTGATGTTTAAAAAATCCAGAACTGTTGGCGAGATCTTGCACAATCACAAGCAGGTGATGAAAAAACTACCTAACTGTGCATGCGCTACCTCCCGACTACCAAAGATGGATGATAATGTTGCATGCAGATTAAGTAAAATTATTGAAAACCGGTTAATATGGAATGCAAAAAACGTACCGCATGTTAACGCAAGAGTAGGGAAAGAAAAAGTACGGAAGACAATTCTACTCACAGTAGCAAGTATACCACGAGGCATGCGAAAGACAAGAGAAATAAGAATTGATGTCTCGGGGTGTATAAACAAAAGGAAAGACAAAAACGAAGGAAATTATCTGGATATATCGAAAGTCTGGAAAGTCAAAAAGGAATTGGGACAATTGATCCTATCGCCACTGGATAGGAATCCTGGAGAAACGCTCGTTGAATGTCCAAAAGCCTGGCATGAAAAGACAAATCAATTTTTCCTAGAATCCGAATACTATGAAATTGTTCAGCAGGCAGAATCCGAAATTCTCCAGCTAGCAAAGAAGACTTACCAAGGACGTGGACTGGGAAAGATTGTCGAATGGGATGAGAACGGAATATACGAAAATGCTTATACAATTCCAAAGAACAAAGATATAACTAGACGAAGGCCAATTGTACCAACATATAACGAATCTTCACGAAAAGCATCGAAAATTTTGTCGAGAGCGATGAACTTTATGTGTAAAACATGGAAAGTCGGGTTCTCATTGCAAGGAACAAATCAACTTGTTCAAAAATTAAAAGAATGTAACAAAACAACAGAAGAAATGTATGGACGGAACGTGGAATTGATACGCATCACGTATGACGTTAAGGAGATGTTTTCGAATCTAGATCATACACATGTTCTTAACGCCATGCAATGGATGCTAGAGACTACAAAAGAAAAACGGAAAACGCACCTGTGCTATAAACAAAGAGGAAAATACATCAATTTCGGCGAAGCAAATGGAACATACGGATGGAGAACAATTCAAATTGACAGTCTGATGGATCTACTATATTATGACATTAAACATGCCTACTTCGAAGTACATGGAACACTACTTCGACAAATCAAAGGCGTACCTATGGGAAAGGGCTCCAGCCCACCTATAGCAAACATGGTATGCGCATTTGATGAACACAGATGGTGTTCTGAAATTGGACTCAACAGGAAGCTCATTCACGGAATATGAGTTGTAGACGATGTAATGATCATAATAATAGCAGATAAAAAAGATCAAGAAAAAGAATTGAGATGCATGGAATCGTTCAAAACATGTTATCACCATTCACTGAAGCTAAAATCAAAATAAGAAAAGGAAAGTAAAAAATGGACTTATCTAAAAACAACGATATCAAGGATAGATCACGAACCCCTCCTCAAGTGCACACATAAACTGAAGAACGAAGCGACACTCCAGGAGGGGTTGTTGAGCAGAAAACAAAAATAATGACGATAATTGGCACGTTTCACAGAATGGTAGCGAACACCTATGATGTCGCTGACTTAACCATGGTAATGAAGTTGTTTTGTAGGGAACTCCGACAGATGGACTACCCATGGAGGATAACCCGCACAGCGATTTTGGCATTCATCATAACTTGCAAAGACACTGAAGTCCGGAGTAGATTCGGAGAGTGTCTGGAAGCAGAAGAAACACCAATTAAAAAATGATATAAAATCAAAAAAAAAAAAAAAAAAGATAAAAGCAATAAAGAAAAGAAAACGCGCAAACCTAAAATCACATATAAAAGATCGGCAACACGCAGATATAATGACGCAAAAACGGCCATATTGATTTCCCAACATACGCAGTGAAATGAATCGAACCGAGAACCAGAGTAAGCATATAACAAGCAGGCGACAGGAAGATGAAAGTACTCACCTGAAAAATAATGATGAAACCCATGACCACGGGTAAGACAAAGACACATACAAAGCCAAAAAGACAAGTCAGATATAAACACAAAAAAAAAAATCAACATTATTTTTTAACAGAAATACGGTTGAAAGTGAAATACACTGAACGAGTACGGAATTCCTGCAGAAAGAGGAATAGAAACATAATAGACAGTACCATAGGAGCATACGCAGGAGGAGGATGTTATATGCAACAAATCGAAAACCACGAGAAACCAACGACGACAAGGGCGTTACAGAGCGTGACTACGGAGAAATCATAGGCAACAACGATGAGGACACTGCAGGGATCGAGGACAAGCAGGTGGGAAGGGTAAGGATGATAGGGTATAAATTCAGGGACGGTGGCTGAAAGGATTACCTAAGAAGTGAGGTAGAAGGGTAATCGCGACAGTTGTCGCATGCCATGGACAGGACGTGAATAGTATGAAAGTAGAACCTCGCACATGTTCTCTATTGTTGCAAGTGTGTATCTCTAGTGAGAGAGAGAGAGAGAGAAAGAGAGAGAGTGTGTATCGCAGTGTCAAAACTTCATACATTTTTGTGTTCATTCTCATTCTGATCCAAAATTCACTTCTTCAATTACGTGCATTCCCCCTGCCGCGGCGTATTCACGGTGTTTACTTGTTCTTTTAAAGGCAGGCCATGTCTATGCAGTCTTATCCTGCCCTCCTTTCCATGATGACTGCCTTGATCATAGCAACGCACTCACCAAAAAGATTTACTGTCGAGGCTTTAAGAAAGTAGTTTGGAGACGAAGTAAATTGGGAGTGGAAAATGGCCGCTTTATCTTCGAAGATAGTCCAAAGAGCTATGCATTTTCATCGTTGGTTATAAGACATCAACAGTTGTCTACCTGTCAAGTTCCATCTCCATGCAAAACTGTTACCAGATCTTCCATTGCTAAATTATGTTGTTAATAAGATTTGTAAATCAATCGTTGGTTATAAGACATCAACAGTTGTCTGCCTGTCAGGTTCCATCTCCATGCAAAACTGTTTCCAGATCTTTCATTGCTTTGTTAATAAGATTTGTAAAGGAGCACGCGAAAGTCAAAGAAATTCTACGGATACATGTTCTATTTGTAAAGAACCCAGTCTGGCAGGTACTCAGAAGTCGTCAAACATCAGTAGTCTCGTTATCTGCATCAAAGTCTCCAGATCGTGAAGTGATAATTCAAACAGCATCTCATTATCATCAGAAGAAGAGAGTGGAGAGAGAACAAACAAAGGAGAAGATGAGAAACCAAATAATAATCCCTGCAGATCCCTCTCCTTCTCCGGGCTTCCTCCTTCTCCACATCAATAGTGATAACACGTATATTCCTGATCACATACAATAGTGCCACGTGGCACTCAATCTCGTGAAGACTGTGAAGACATAGTAGATTCCAGTGACGACGTCAACCTCCGGTGAGTACCCGACCTCCTTCATCCACAAATCCCGATCATCTCCTCCTCACAACCAGTCACGTCATGTGGACAGTGTGGACGATGCCACATCAGCAGACGAGACAGGTGGCATATGCCACATCATCAATGAAGATCAATAGCTGCACCACGTAGACTAGAGGCAGAGCCACGTCAACATGCTACGTAGACCAGAGGCAGCGCCACATATACCAGAGGCAGCGCCACGTCAGCATTCCATGTAGACCAGAGGCAGCGCCACATATACCAAAGGCAGCGCCACATATACCAGAGGCAGCCCCACGTCAGCATTCCATGTAGACCAGAGGCAGCGCCACATATACCAAAGTCAGCACCACATCAGCATGCCACGTAGACCAGGGCAGCGCCACATATACCAGAGGCAGTGCCACATATACCAGAGGCAGCGCCACGTCAGCGTGCCACCTCAGCAAGCCTGCGCACAATGTCGAAGGTGCTAGCATGCTGTCACCGCCTCGTACTGTCACCCGCATCACCTGAACACAGCCAGCGTCTAGCCAGCGTCGCGCCGGCGTCTAGCCAGCGTAATGCCAGCGTAATGCCAGCGTAATGCCAGCGTCTAGTCAAAGCCAAGCCAGCGTCAAATCAGCATAGGATGACTGAATGCTGACCACCTCGAGGCCTTTAAGTAGTATTTGGCGAGGCTCTCTGGCCTCGGGTCTCCTTCCCTCAGTCGTCCAGATTGAGTCACAGCCGAAGGCCTGGATCGTACAGTTGCAGACTTTCCCCTTGGACCTTATGTTATCTGGGTACCTGCATACAAACAAGCGTGTACTTGACCAGCGGCCTGGACTGCGTACGTTTGGACTTTGGCTGTTGGGGTCAGGGCAGTTGACAAAAGTCAACTGTCTCACGTCCAGGCCCTGAATTTTCGTGTGAGGTCTTTGCCCCTGTTTCAGCCTGGGCTGAGGGTGGCCGAGTTGGCCCTCAATCTTTCCTCGAGACATATGGCATGGGTTATTGCATATTGTATAAATGATACTATAACTTGATAATTTTTATTTATTATATTTCTATTATTTATAATAAATACTCATTATATTATTAAATTCTATAGAAATAAAAAATCAAATAACCCATCGGCGCAGCCTTTCGGGGTTTCCTTAGGGACCCATTCACTCTGCGTAGATTGGCCGAACTCATAAACCCTTGAACTTCCAGCGATCATGTTTTTCACCTGATTTTTTGTTACTTTGATCAATCGAGCAAGTTGACTGGGAGTCTCTCGCTAACTTCTATTCATAAGACAACAGAGGACACTTAATGCCAGTATCGTTACAAGGTAATGTACAGCTTCACATCTGACCCATCATCCACCAGGACCATGGACCAGGGGAAAAAATTGAAAAAAGGGCTCGGTTGACGTTTTCCAGATAGAGCTACTGCAGTTAGTTACAACCTGGATAGTGTGAGCAACAGAATGAGGGCCATTGTGGTGCTATGTTCGTGCTATGTCCATGCTATATTCGTGCTATGTTCGCCGTGCTATGTTCCTGCTATGTTCGCCGTGCTATGTTCCTGCTATGTTCGCGCTATGTTCATGATATCGTGCTATGTTCATGCTATGTTTGAGTTATAAATGGCATTGACCCACTCTGGTAAACCCTAAGTGTGGCACGTTTGGGAAATGGTCTGCAAAGCAAAGAACTCTTGTGTTTGTCGACAGCTGTGGCCAATTGATTGCAGCGTCAACTTCCTCTCACCCAAAAATCTATTCTTCTGATGCGTTGTCGGAGCCAAACGGAAGACGTTGGAATACCCTTCGTCCAATCGCCAAATCTCATATGAGGAAAGGGCAAACATCCTGCGGCTGGCAAGCAAGACCTTGCCTCTTTGCTTTACAGATGCCCACTCCAGTGATTCAGGGCACGGGAAGCAGGCGAAGTCGATGGGAACAGCAGGAGAGTGATATGAAACCAGCTTACCCAATACGTGTATCTCTTCATCAAGGGATACGTTCCAACTAGCAGAAGGGAAGACGCGCCCAGGATTTGACTGCAACACACAATATTCAGACGAAAATCCATCACACAGTCCTTGTCACACAACCAGCACGGAAGATATCCTCTGCCCTCCTCCTCCTCTTCTTCTTACTGTTCATCATTTCTTGTTCTTGTTCTTGTTGTTGTTGTTGTTGTTCTTCTTCTTCTTCTCCTCCTCCTCCTCCTCCTTTTCCTTCTTCTTTCTCTTCCTTCCCTTCTTCTCCCTTCTTTCCCCTTCTCTTCCTCCTCCTCCTCCTCCTCCTCCTCCTCCTTCACTGGCAGCGGTGCCATCGCCATCGCCATCATCACCGTCGCTGCCATGGCCGCAGTCACTGTCATCTGCATGGTTATTACTGCTCCCCATCATTGCCTCCGTCATCATCCTCCTCATCGTCCATCTTCTCCGTTCATTTTTTGACCTCCATCAAAGACTGACCCCCTCCATCCTGCCTCGAGATATCATGCCTCCCTCCCTGCACGAGCCACGTGCACAACGTCACATTCCCACCCCCTCTTCCCGAAAGCCCGGCAAGCTGCCAGCCAAGTCCGGCGGCCATCCATGAGCTGTGCACCCCTTGGACAGCTGCCACAGGAGCCATTACCGAAGGAAAAAAACGGAATGCGGAAAAGGAACCAGAAGGAGAACCACTATGGGCATACATTAGGACTTTTTCTACTACGAGAAGAAAAGACAAAGAAGACCTCTCCATAAGAATAATATCATCATACGAACAAGAAAAAGAATAAGGGTATAAAAAAAAAATCCTCGTGATGGATGAGACGTTGGCGAAAAGGGGAAGTGATGAGACGCTGGACACGGTTTCCAGCCAAGTGAAAGCTAGGTAAGAGCCCCAGTGTGTTACTTTACGCGTTGTTTGTGAGGATTCCCGGCCTCGTTTCTTCCATTCGGAGTTTATATTTCTTTGTTGGAACTCGATTTTTTTATTATTATAACGGAAACAAAAAAAGAAACAGCAGCCACAGAGCAGTTGTAAAAAAGAGAAGAAAAGTCTACGTACATCTCACCTGAACTGGTTCAGCTGAAGTAGAATTCCCAAGCCCAGTAGCAATTGGCTCCCAAGAAAGACGACGGCTTGATTCACGGTCACTGCGCCGCTCGCCAGAGGGCGATTGCTAGTCCGCGATACCTGTCATCATTCTAGTTTCAAAGATTTTCTTCCAAACTTATATACCTCCTTTGGAGGTACATCTCAGAAAAAGGGGAGAGAAAACTTCTCAGAAAAGTCACAATGGCTCCTAAGTGTGGTAGCAGTCTTGGAAGTAGAGAACATCTCACAGAGGCATCCATCCACCTTGCAGACACACACAAATACGACAATCTCAGAAAGGCATCGACCCTTACTCCCAAAAAAAGCGCACAGACAACGAGAGGAAATCAACCTACCAGAAAACTGCCGAGGTGCGTTTATCAAAAAAAGGAAAACCAGATTGCAGTCATGAAAAAAAAAAAAAAAAAAAAAAAACTCAAAGGACACCACCACCAAGGGGGGAGGAAACAGCAAAGTGTAGTGGAAGGGCAAAAAGTTACACAAGACGATCAGTCGCAAAGCGTTCCCCCCTTCCCCCCCCCCGGGAATCCAGGCACATGTTCACGTTACTCATTCACCACAAATCAGAGGCTCTGAAAAGAATAAATAATTGCCAGTCTCAATAAGCCTTCCAGACGCGAAAGATTCAATTGTCTTCCAAACTGGCAACTGCTGATGAGTGGCACTCACTCTGACACGACCTCCCAGCACACGACGAGAGTACGACGAGGAGAAAAGAAGGAGAGTGGGAGGGACAACGGGCAGGGAGGAGAGGGGAGAAAGAAGAACAGCACAGAGAAAGAGAGAAAGAGCGGGAGGAAGATGCAACCGAGTACATCATGTATGGGGAGGAAGGGCAGTGCGGTTTTCGTCTGCTGGGGCAAATAGACAGTCCGAGAAGTAGAGACGCGAAGCGAAGCACTAGGGAGGTAGAGTGAGGAGGAGTATGTGTGCGAGAGAGAGAGAGAGAGAGGGAGAGGGATGGATGTTCCCAACGGCATTCTTTACCTTTAGTTAATAGAGTCGAGGGAGGTCTGAATAGATTTCCCATCCAATCCAGAACTGCGGCCACACACTTCTTTTGCCTGCCTTTCAACTACCCTCCCCCAGCAAGCCTGTCCTCAAGGTGGGGCCGTATGGCAGAGAGCCCATAGACATAGACAGCTGGGAAAATTCAGGAAGATGGATTTTCTACTCACAACTCAGTGCAGAGGGAGTAGATGGTCATCGAGGCCAGTAACTGGCAATGATCCATGACTAGTAGTCGGGGAGCAAAGTATATAGGCACATCTATATAGATTATTGAAAAAGAAATACATTATGAAGAAGAAGGGGAAACAGAAAAAGGAAACGCAAGTAAACGGGGAGAAGACCGAGAGGAAGGTGGCAGTGAAGGAAAGAAAGGAAGGGAGAGAGGGAGAGAGGGAGAGAACAGAAAAGGAGAGAGAGAGAGAGGGTGGGTGGAGAAGAACGGTCGTACTAAAGACCTGAAGATTCATTAATGCCATACGGCACAAAGCTAGGCAGGTGGTCATGGGAATGATCGAGAGAAGAGATGAGGATCGTATAGCGCACAGGAAACTTACGGTCATTATCGCTGGCATCTAAACTGAAAGTAGCCCCACATACAACTATAATGACCGCACATTCTATTGGGGTGACGACGATGGGTCACGGTGACCCACTCCCTCGTCAAAGATCACACCAAATACGACAAGGCTTTTGCTGGAGGAGGAGGGGCGGGTGGGGGGGGGCTGTGTAGGAGACAAGTTGTAGACGGAGGGAATAAAAGATAAGCTCACCTTGCGGTCGATATCTCGATCGAGCAAGTCATTTATGGTACAGCCTGCCCCTCGGAGGAGAACTGCACCCATTCCAAACAGCGCAAGCATCTTCAAGTCGGGTAGAGTGGCTGGGGGAGCCGCCAAGCTGATTGACCTGTTGACACAACGAGTGACAAGTGCAAATTACAAACGACACGAGACCACGTAAAAGATTCATGGACGACAATTACACATAAACGAGAGAAAAAATGATGACAGCCAGCAACACAAACGAGAGAGAAAGAGGCCTAGCAACAAGACACAAAAGAATGTGGAAACAAAAAGTGCCAAATGGAAAGGGATGGAAACAAAAGGTGGGAATTGGAAAGGAAATGCAAAAAGATAAAACGACAAAGGCAACCCGGGACAAGGCACGGCAAGACAGCCAACCACTTTTGCATGAACCAAACCAAGCCAGTGAAGTGAGCCAAGCTAACTTATCCCCCCCGTCAGCTCCAAACCCAAATCCAAATAAACTCAATCCCACCCAGAGGAATCCAGCAGACAAGGCGGGGAAGGGGGGGAACGGGGGGTCAGTATATCCGTCTGCATTCAGGTCAGTTTCCAAGGCAGATGCAGTGACCATAAGTCCGCGTTCTATTCGGGCAAAGATGCACCGCCGCTGCCGGACAAGCTAGCTCCCAACGCCGCGATTTAGAGAAGATGAAGGGAAGGGGGGGAATGCCAAAACCCCTATTACCCATCTGAGCTACATGGAAGTCAAGCCGACTACAAAAAAGGACATATTGAAGATATAACAGGAGGGACACGGACCAGAAACAGGGCCACGTCAGCAACCACGTCCCGATCGGCCTATCTAAGCGCGCCAGCTGGATGTAAGGCCAGATGTTCGCCGGGCAATTGCGCTCAAACCAACCCCTTATCGTCCCATCTGTCCTGACGCCGCTGCTGCAGATCCCGCTTTGGAGCCCTGGACGCGTTCCATTCCCCCTGATTAGTCCACCTCCTTCTCTTTCCCCCACGTCTGATCTGACAGACTGCTGGAAGGCGTCCTTCTCTTCCCCGGATTTGGTAACACAGCMACGGAAGTTAGCCCWMRAAAGACACGTGGCARGAGATCCCGATCCGCCATAATTGSCGCAAAGATGCTTACTCGGCGACACGCCTTCAATTAAGGAAGATGGACCCAATTCTATCATAGACAGTCCCCCACGCCGCGATCTTGCTAGCCCATCTGCCACGTCATCGGAGCTCCCTCGCCAATAATTGAACGAAGTGAAGCCGTGTCCTTTGCGCCGCTCACGGTCGACTCCCTTATTGGAGTTTCTTCCCGCGAAAAATTGATCACTGGCAGCTTGGCGGGAAAACAATGCGAAGTCTTTTACGAGTGAGGATGGTCGAAATGCACTCCCCTCCTTTCCTTCCTCTCTCTTCTTCATCATCGCTTCTGCGTCGGCAGCAGCACAGCAGTGTCCTCGGCAAGGCGGACGCCGAGAATCGAGGATCGTGATACCGACAAGCCGTCTTAGATCCGCCCCATTCACAGGGCAGACAGATCTCGGATGACTTCCGCCAATTCCGACGGAGAAGAAGCAGCGACAACCAGCACCATGCCATCGCCCAATCTGCGCAGAATTGACATCAGCGGCGACCGACCCTTGAGCTCGCCGCCGTCTCCATAGCCATCCTTCGCTCTCCTCCTCCCATGAATTCTTACAACCTCTGCCGCTCAAGCGGGGATACAACGAGGAAGGAGACAGCCTTTGCCGCCAAGTTTCCTCAGCGGTGGGAGCGAATTGACCTGGTCCGCTGTTCTCCGAAAAGCTAGTCGCGGCAGATCTGGACGGCGAGCGGGACGACGGTTCGAATCGCCGCCTCTTCCAGGTGGTCTCGGCGGTCGACCACACCCTTCGAAAAGTGCTGCCATCTGCGTCGCCGGCCCGGGTAGGACTTGCCCCGTTATCTCTGCAGCCATTGAAGTCGAGGTTGATGGCAGAGAGATCGCCCCGTGATCGAACCTCCCGCGTATCCTCCCCCTCCTCTCCTATCGACGTCCGTATGTGCTTCTCCTCCTCCCCTAGCCAGGTCCTGTGTAATCGTTGACCAGGTAAACACAGTTGACCAGGTAAACACAGTTGACCACGAGAACACTGCGGTGCCTTCGCGCGGGCAGAAAACAACCGCAGCGATGACGATCTTGTGAGAACAGTCGCGACCGCTCGCTCGCGAAGCCTCATCTCGACGAGAAGAGAGGAACACGTTGGAGTCTGCGATGCAGGGCCTCGCCGCACCACTCTCGAAATTTGCAAAATGAGAACGAACTTTCCGCTAGAACATAGCCGGATTCACCCGCCACATTTTTGCTTATTTCATATTTCGAGAGTGGTGTGGCGACAACTCACGAACGCCATGCGCAGTGCGTTTCGATATCGAGACACGTGGCACGCAGTGGCATCCCCCGGTAGCTCCAGGTACGCCCCGTTCTTGAGAACTCCTGCGAAGTCCTTCGGGACATCTGTTAAAATTGGAACGATACAGAGAAGATCAGCATGGCCCCTGCGCAAGGATGACACGCATAAATCGAGAAATGGTCCAAATTCGGGACATCTGTTAAAATTGGAACGATACAGAGAAGATTAGCATGGCCCCTGCGCAAGGATGACACGCATAAATCGAGAAATGGTCCAAATTAAAAAAAAAAAAAAAAAAAAAAAAAAAACCYCCTGCGAAGTGTCCAGCATCGCCTCGAAACGGTGTTGAGGAGAGGACAGCAACTCGCCCCTTCAGGTCGGTACAGTTGACGGTAAGGAACCTGAAAAGTTCGCATAAGCTAAGGGCCTCGCCACGAGGCACGCGAAACGAAAAAAAATCACAATTTCCTTTCGTGTTCATTGTTAGACCAAATCACATTTTCGTTTCGTCTTCACTGTTAGACCACGCCAAGCGTGGTGCCGCAGCCAGGGGCTTTCCTCTATTGAAGTGGAGCCTGGGTTTGGGTATAGATTGGTTTATTTGCTACGCCCGGAAGGGGGGTTGAGGCTGTTGTGGGTGTTTTTTTTGTGGTTGTTCATTTTGCTTGGGGGACATTTAGCAGCCAGGAGGCTTGTGTAGGTTCCATTTTCGTCGTTTCATTTCTTTCTATTTTTGGTAAGGTCGTGCAGTACGACTCTGCTAGGACGGGTTCGTTTGGGGTCTCCGACATCAGAAAATAGGGTCCGGTCGCAGTCGTCCCTAAGACCGGTCCTACGGCAGGTTATCTTGTCAAGGTCTTTGCAGTTTAGTATAGGGTGCCGTCCATTGTTTCCCTGTTGAGGGATACAGGTTTTTCCCGCTGCAAACTGGGGGCGAGCGATATGGGTCTGGGTCGTTTCAGCTTTTGTTTTTTTTTCTATTCTACTGCATCTGCCAAGAAATACAGTATCGAAGCATTCTGCTGTTTACTACGCCCAAGTAAAGAAATCTAGAATTTATTATTCGTTTTTTTTTTTTAATTAAGTAGCCCGTGTAGGGCGTTTCATTATAGCTCAACAAAGGTGAGGCCGGGAACCTCACAATTCAACCGGGAAAGCAGGAATGAAGAATATCTAGGCACAAAAATAGCCAACCCTAAACTGTGGTCCTGAAACCTTATTCCTAGTGCAACTCGGCACAAGCCTTAAAAGCCAAACAATTCAAAGTTAAACTACAGGCCTACCCACATTATCCTATCGTCTACTTGTAACCCTGTCTAAAACGACAGTTGGGCCTAGGATGGGACCGAGTAGCCACTTGGTACTCCCTCCGCTAATCATATCCCCCTGCCCTCCTCCTGTGGAGATAGAACCGAGTACCCAGGTATAACAACAAATTATGTCACAGGCCAAATTCCCAACAAGCCAAAACAATGAAATCGGCCATTTCAGAGTTGATCCCCTCAAACCTGTTCCGAAAACCATTTGTCCAATACTAACTTTTCGTCTACCAGTGTCGCCAGCTTACATGCCAATCCCCATGTATTACGAAACTAACGCGTGGAATTCCCCTTGCCTTTCCTTCGCCAGTCTACCTAAATAAGGCGACGGAAGGAAGATTTTAACAGCCTTCTGATTTCCCTATTCGACATCTTGTGGTTATCGAATATTCGCCGATTCCATTCTTTCCAAATTGCATCGCAACCAACCGCTCATGCAACTTGGGCTATGTAGCCCCAACCAGTTCTTGTTTCCAACCGGCCTGGAAGTCCCCCTAGGAGAACCCATTCTTTGTCCTCATACAATTATTCCAAATTGTTACACAAAAATCTCTGCCACCAGTCCCAAATTCTCTTAGATGTAGGACAGTCGTACCAAAGGTGAACTGTGGACTCAAAGGCTCAGTCACATCTCTTGCAGGTTAGTTCCACCTTGAGCCCTCTCTGCTCAAGATTCACTGTAGACGGGGTAGCCAGGAGAGAAAGTAGCCATAAGTTGGCCGCTAGACGAGGGCTTGGAGTGATAGCCAGTTGTTGCCAACATCGTTTTAGCGATACCTCGCTCCACCTTTTGGTGGTTGTTTCCAATGGTGTGTGTCCTGTTGTCTGAGATTCGTATCCCTGTACCACTGTGTATGAAGAAAGCACTAAATTTTCCCTTGCCTGACCACTTCCCCTCCATCCCCACATTTTAGGATTCAATCTTAACTCGAAGATGGTGGCCCCAAATGCATAGACTTTACAAGTTCAATTACCCTTATCATGGCATGTCTCCCACACCATGATCTGAGCTAGCTTAACTATTAATGGAGGATGTGTCGGACTTTCTTTTTTTGCCGGAAGGTCGGTTCCTCTACATTAATTACTTCCCAACACTGAAATTGTTTTTTTCCCTTAGAATCAATTTATGTTAATTTTCAAAGGTTGGGGGTTCCTCAGGGGCGTGGCAAGTAAACCACGTACTAAGGAGGTCCACACCTTCATGACCAATGATGGACTTCCATTGGTCTGGGATAGCCTCAATGAGTTGGGCCAATTGTTCTTCCACATACCACAGTTGACCCAGCCGTGCCCTGACGTCTGCAGGGCGAAGCCATTGGTTATCTAGTTGGTTTCATATATCCTCAATCCGCAATACTCCTTTTTCTATCCAGCGTCTCCCAAAGTTGTTGCTAGCAATATCCGCCGCAAACCAACGACCATCTGACTTTCAAATATGTGGGTTCTCCAAGAATTTTGTTTCAACCGGTTGCAATCAAGAATTAGGTTTCAATTTACGTCAAACCCATAACACAGCTTTCAAAAACTTAAACTTTATTACACGATTCTAATAGGAGGTCAACGAGATGCAAGTCCACACATTAGCTGGTCTTTGAAGATTTCATTCCAGAGCAAAAATTTGTTCAGCTATAAGGATCTAATACGCCTCCCTTGGGGAGCAAGTAGCCTTGATTACCCGGTGGACTAGCATTGTTGTGTTCTTTCGCTGGGGGTCGGTCATCCCTAAGCCTCCCTCTGCCTTTGAAAAGCACACTAAGTCCCATGCAACTTTAGATATATACACATCTTTGTCCCCTGCAAAAGGCTTCCACAAAAAAACTGTTGCACGCCTGCGAATGAGATCGCACTTGTGTCTCCCTAAGGGTCTGACTGCAGCCACAAACCAAAGCAAACCAAAGAGGGCGTTGTTTGTTACCAGTACCCTCCCATAAATTGACAAATGAGGAGCCTTACCCCATGTGGAAACCCACAGCAGTATTCGTTGTCGGGGTCGGCGGTCCCACACCCAGACGTAAAACATTTTCAGTGTCGGACCTCACGGTCGCATCACGCTGGAGTTTTAGAAACATTTCAGCGAAAAACCAACTCCGACCTTGCGCGCCAGCTATACCTCTCGCGGCTTCCTGCGACAGGACAGAGGTCCCGTGAGGTACAACTCACCTCCACCTGCGGGAGCTGTCACCATCCCTTAGGTGGGCGTATCCCTGCTGAGCTACTGACTTACGTGCGAAGACTTTTATATGCAATCACATAGGTAAGTTTGTCGAGGTCGTTTGCTCTATCGCCATAGCATAGGCATAAGCGCAGTTGAACGCCTAAGACTGACTTGTATACGCGTCCGGCATCGGGGCGTTGATCTCCCTGACCGACTCACAATTCAGGTCGACTCGACCGACGGACGTTCGCGGATACTATGCTTTGACTATAATTAGTTTCAATAAGTATGACTTACAACCTAGCCCCTTTTCGGAACACGATCCGCTCAGTACTTGAATTATCAGGGGTCGCTCGTAAGACATATACCCTATCCTACCTAGTGATTAAGTCAATTCAGCATATCTCTTTATGAAAATCCTTTGTCATATCATACATACACATGCAATGAAATAAGGTTGAGTAATTAGGCAAGGAGATGTCACATGCACTTAACACATTCACAAGAACAGTCTGAATTCATCAAGAAAAAGGTAGGTCATTGACCTTTCAAACATGTATAGATGAAATGAATCATAAAATGAATAAGGTTTTTCGCCTAACCTTTTTATCAATCAGGGAAGAGCACAAGGTTGGGTACTCAAACCAAGTGTATAAAATTGCGCATTGACGAAATGTCTAGATGAAGGCCCAGAATAGCGTAAGTTTCTCAATGGGTTGCAATGAATAGCATGGCTGGTCGTTTTACTGACCTGCAGACAAAGTCAATCACATTACACAATCCTAGCAGAGTCAACCATTCATTCACTTTTACACACATTACACTTACTCTTTCAAACCTTTCAGCCATATATTCCATTTTCGACTTAGTCATTCAAGGACTTATTTTGATCAAACTCAATGACTCGAAAATCAGAAATGTCACTTGGTGCAAAGGTTGATGCAAAGTGTGGGAGTAGAGGGTGAGTGAGGGTTGAGTTGGTGAACCAACTTGTTACCATAAGGCAACAGCATGTAGTCTCGTATAGACTCATAATGAGTCCTTTTAAAAGTAAAGGTGATTTGCAATCACACACAAGTCAACACGGTCTCAACACCTCCTTGCCATCGACATGACTCTATCTGAAGTTCAATATAGTGAACTTCATTTTAGTCGGGAATAATACTACATCGACATAACTCTCTTTAGGTAGCCTCACTAACTTCTTATCAGATCAGCTTCTAGAGATAGTTGTCTAAAGGAAGAAAAGTATAGAGTTAACATCGCCAAAAATTTCCCCTTCAGACATACACAAACAAAATATCTTCAATCTCATACGGAGTAGATTCATGAGATTTGACACCAATCACTAGGTTAAGGTAGCAGAACAGGTCACACGGTGCCACATTCCTTCTACCTTCACCTCAGTAGAATCAGAAAATAGATATTGTCAGTTCGTTAGTCTTTTGCGGGATCTTCATAAGAGTTGTCATAGGAGGGTAGATCACACGGGATCCTCATCTTATTGGGCGTCTGGTGGTGATAGGCCAGACCTCGTGGTACCTAGCTTCTCCTATCACAATTTTCATTGGTGTAAGGTTGACTAGTAATAA